AATCGGTCCAACCCAGTGACTAACATTTGCTAATCCCCTGCTGGATGGTGCTGCCAGCAGGCCCCCTATCCCCTCGGATATATGAGCTGAAGCTTCGAGCGAAGATGGCATGATGAGAATAGCAATTGCTCAGCGCGCATTTGATACCGACCTCGGGGTTTGCTTGAGACACGGGGTTTCCACGCCTCCGTTTCCAGTGTCTAAACTCGAGCCGGGCAGCATGAGTGATGCCTTTACATGCTCCCTCCCCAGTCCTCAACGAGAACTGCATCCCTGATGGCAATTTCACTTCTTTGTTCTCGCCATTTTGTGGTGTGAAGCACCAGACCCTTCAGATTCTGTCACATTTCTGGAGCCCCTCAGCACGCGTATGCACACTTCGACGCAGGCACAAGTCGTCTTGGAGGACCGAAAAGGCTGCATACTGCAGCTCTGGTTGGCCGAGTGAGGGTGTAAGTGGGTAATATGCAGCTTGGCATCGCTGCTCCATCCTTCTCCTTCCTCAGATGCTCACCCTCCGTCTTGGAAGCCGTGTTCCTGTTCGTCTCGCTTGGGGGCCAGAAGGATCGTCTCTGTTCTCGTCTTTTCATATCGTCTCCGTATGTCGTCATGTCAACTTATTCAAGTTTCACATATCGCCCGCCCTGGCTAGAGCCTTGCGGGATCTTTCGACGAGGATCAAACGACCCTACACACTGACAGTCGTGGATATCTCAGCCCTTTTTGGATGTCATAACACGAAATCTGGCCCATCGGGGCGGTGCTCGAAAGTTGGACGGACCGATGGCAGCCCAAGTGGGCCAAGACCTTGTCAGAACCTTGGTGAGGAATGGTGTGATGGGGTCGTTCACCGGCAGCCCGGTGGCCCGGGGAAGTTTGAGTGAGCTCCTGCAAAATACCGTATCCAGGAAGAATCACTGCAAGCCACGATGCGGAGTAAAGGGCAAAGAGGATTCTCTAGAGCCGACGGGACTCGGGAAACCTCATTTGCGTGCAATTGCCCCAATTCTGCAGACTGCTCGAAGGGGGGGAAGCTGACCGGCCAAGGTGTGTCGCTTCTCGTTCCAACTCGCGCGCAATCGTCTCGTGTATATGCAGTTGGACGTTGGATGCAGGCCAAGCATAGTCTGCAGGAGGCACAGGCCGAGGGTGGCGTTCGACAACGACGGCACAATTCTAAAGACTGGAAACAGGACGCAGGGCAAGACGACAGTCGAACATGGACATGTGAGCTGGTTGCCTTGTTGGTGAACGAAACCCCGGTCTTTGCAATTCTGACAGAGTTCGCCCAAGGGGATCTGGCAATCTCATTTCGCCAAACTGAACCGTGCCTCGTTGATTCCAACGAGGATGCGGGCTAGCGTTTGGCACTATTGACAATTCGACATAAACTCGCCGCTGCTGCAGAGACAAGTCTTCCCAGCAATATGGAAAGATGAAGAGAGTCGGTCGGGCTGGACAAGGGATTGCCATTTTGACACCCCCCGGAAGATTCCTTGATGTGACGCTGAGGTTTCGTCGGATGGAATTATCCATCTCGTTGATCGACGGGAGCCCGAAGCGACTCCGCTAGGCGGGCAGCAAAAGAGGGCAAAATAGCAGCGCTTCAGTTGGCGGACCCGACGATCCGACGATGAGGGTTGTGTCCCGTCTTTTGCGGCCATGCCCAACGGAGGTTTTTTCCTCTGTTCCCTTTTTCTCGCTTGTCGTGTTTGCCGTTGGGGAGCTTCCTTTATCCACCCTCGATGGCACCTGTCAAAGGGTCTAGTCGTTCGAAAAGAATTGAGACACGGCTGACTTTGGTTTAGGCCGGACTGCAGCGTTGCATCGCGTGGCTCTGGAAAGAAAGCTCGGGGGGCACGCGTCGAGTAATGATCTTCGCGACGTGGGCTCAGGCTGTTCTCTTTTCGACACAATCGTTTGAAACTTCGGGATTGCGAGGATTTGACGTCTTTCTCTGTTGGTGCTCCGATGCGACGTCGGCCGCGACGCTTTTCTGGGGCCGTTGGGATATTTTTTCTTTTGCTGTTTGCGCGCGCCGCAGTACCGTTCTGCCGCCAAATGCGCGCAGCGGAGATGCGCTCCGGTATTTGATCTGCAAAGCGCGAAGCTTGCGAAGCTACGAGGCTGGGGTTTCACTTATTTTGCGCACTTTGGCGGTGAGGCTTGCTGCTGCGGTGTCTCTCAGGTCGTGGAGTTCGTTTTTGTGCGACGGACTTGTCTCCGATGTCTCTACCGGAAGTCGCGGTTTGCTGCTCGTTCGGCGACCGATATTTGCAGACTGGGCGAAAGTGGCGCCTGAAGATCGCCATCTGATAATGACCCGAGTCATGGTCGGACAAGGCCCCCTTTGTTCGTTCCCGGGCTATGGGGAATTTGGATGGAATGTTCCTTATCGAGTGGGGGATCGATGATCGCGTGGACGGTCTTGTCGTCCTTGGCCTTCGGGAAATGTCGATTCGTGATTTCGGGGCTGAACAGGGGCGACCCAAGTGGTTGGAGAGGGCTTCTTTGAGATTGACGCTTTTGGGATACATTGGTCTGGGCAGAAAGTTTCTCGGATTGCGACGGCAAGCATGTGCGGTGATCTCAATATCGGAGGATGCTCGATGACTTTCTTGGATAAGTGTCCATTGATCTCTGTGGTTGTTTGGTACTTTGGGGTTGACAGCTTCGAAGGTTTGCATGCAGGGCTCGAAGGGTTCGAGGAGGGATGGCATCCAACCATCTCGACGAGGCAACGGGAGAGGGTGTGAGGAATACGTGTCTGAGTCTTTCGATGATCACTTCGACGTCTATTGGGTAAGTGTACCTCGGACGCCGCGGTTGTCGATCATAGCCCACGACGACACGTGAAGTTGGAGGTGCCCTCGGGATCAAGCTGATGTTTACGTCCTTGCACCGACACATCCTCACGAGCACTATATGCATCCAGTCACGCTCTATTGTGACACTGGTCTTCCAGGTTCTTCTCAGAGAGTTCGTCAAGTGGCAACTTGCTAGGTAACTAACAAGACGTGCTCTCGCAGGTCGGCGACGAGCAAAAGAGGGGGCACCACAAATAACCAAAAAAAGACATGCAACACCAGGCATTCGCTGGTCGTCTCCGACCCAACTACTACTCTGGCCCTCACTGGTTTATCGATGGGAGAGCGGACGGGATCCCGAGTTCTCCAGTGGGTGTGGTCGCATGTGCTTGTGGACGTGGTGGAGGATGGTTATGAGGCGGGTGTCGATAGGTCTTGGGTTGGTTGCTTGGTTGAGTTGCCTGGGGTTGACAGTCGGGATCATACCATAGTGTTTGAGTTGAATCAACTTAAGAGGTCCTTGATTCATGCCCAGAGTTCGTTACAGGTTGTCGCTTTGAGGGAGTACTTAAGGAGGGTTGAGGGGGTTATGGTTGAAAGCTCTGCAATCGGGCGTTCTTCCATCCACCATATACGGTAGCAATTAAATGTATCCTGCGAGGTGGTATATCGCAGCGGTTTTGACTACAAAGATGATAATGACTTAAGGTACGTCGTCACGGGTACATAACTTTGAGTCCGTCTCTCCCCATCGCTGTCCTGGGTGTATTCACATTAAGAGCAGACGGGAGGGTAGCCTGATAGAGAGACTGAACTCGTAGGCCAGTGAAGCAGTGGACACGCCTTCATTCATGATCTCCGGAAGCTGGTGCCAACGCAAGATGCGAGAAAAGTCAAGAAGATGGCCACGATTCCTAGGATCTAGCAAAACAAATGACGTTGGCACCGAGACTTTATAGCCCCCCTTATGGGCTCGGGTCTTGAGATGAACGTATCTAGCTCAGCCCGCCTACTTCTCGCTGTCTGAGTCGGATGATTTAGTCGGTCCCGAGTGTGAAATTGCTGCTTTAAATACCTCGACCATGTGAAGTTCCGTTTGAAGTCCAAGCAATCTAACAAGGGGGACGACTATGGCACAAGATCCGACTAGTTGCCTGCCTAGGAAGAGGTCTTGTGTTCATTGGAAATGCAGCTGGTAAGGTCCGGGCATGTTGTCGTCCCGTTAGTTGCCGTACTATCGTGGTTGTTCTGTTTTTGGTCGTTTCTCGTAGTTTGTGAATGTGTATACTTGAAGAATATGACATGGACAGAGAGTCTTCCACGATCATCGGCAGACTTGTCTTGTGAACCCTAGTCCTGGGCCACATGTCTGCTAGACGCTGTTATTTCAAGCTCGAACAGTGACGAGGTGTATTTCTGGTTTGTGGCCAGATTGTGTGATTACTCTTGGTTATTTATATAACTCTGACGGGTCTGCTTGTGCTATGGTCCGCGCAACTAGCTTTGCGTTCTGACGTGGACTGTCAGCCGAGATATTGCGAGGCTGTACGAGCAAGTTGTGTGAGAATATAAAAGGAGGATGGTTGTAATAGTTTCTGGAGGTAACAAGACAATGAGTGTTGCTTTCATTGTTGTTTGGTCGCTGTGAGTATGTCAGAGCAGCATCGTCTTGATTTGATATAATATGAGTGCTGTCCGACTACGTCAAGCAAGCACGATAAGATGAGTGCTGATCATAATGTATTCAGAAACGTATAATATAACAAGAATAGAGATGATGATGGAGGAAGGAGACTGCAGGCCACGAGCAGTTGTGACAGTAGCGGTTTCGAAAGCCCTCTCGTGTAGGCCAGCATAGACGTTTCTAGACATGAAGTTTTCAAAGCCTCGCCCGAGAGTGTTCAAACACCGACATCGCGACAAGTTAATTGCTTGTTCAGCAGACTGAGAAAAGACAATCAACAGTTTATATCCATTGCGAACTTTCGAATGGGCTCCTTTCTTCACCCCCGGGCGGTTACGATGAAAGAAGTAAGTCCGTCTTCAAAGTCCGCCGACCAGCTTGAAGAGCCTCCGAATCAAGAAGCAAAATGAAGTCAGACCAAATCCCACCCTATCGAAAGTTGACTGGAACACAAGGAATCTTGATACCCTCTTCTCTACGCCTGCTTTAATTAGACTGTATAACGCCAATCACACCGACATAAGCTCCTTTCTCCCATTTGTTTCGTTCGCCTTCACCCGGACCTTCCTTCTTAGTAGCGTGCCCACCTCAGAACCTGTCGTGACCTTAGACACGATGCCCTCAACCTCGTCGTCCTTAGTCTCAGTACCTTTTTGGATGATATCGGCGGTCTCTGGAGAGAAGACTTGACTCAGAGACATCCAGATATTACCAAGGTAACTGGATCTTGTGAGCCTCAGAAACAGTATCATTGTAGTGATTAGCAAACCGAAATGGATACCGATGATGCTAATTACAATACCGAAGCCGAGCCACCGGACAGGAATGAGTTTCTCCTCGGCTAAGACGAAAGTCGCCGTGGATCCCATGTTGTAGTACGGCAGCTCCTCGTAGTATTTCATCTGCTCGAGGATGGTGAACAATTCCTGCAATGCTTCCGGAAGGCTTCCAGTTTCTCGAATGACATTTTGGAACAGGGATGCATGAGCGTAGTGCACAGCGCGAGTGGAATAACCCCCTACTTGCAATGTTCCGCAAGGGTTTAATTCATCAGTGATGTTAAGCGGCCCGCGGACGACGAAGGGCAGGTCACTGGCAACAGAAAAGAACCCTGTTACTGCCAAAGAGTCGCCCGAGCCATTCCTTGTAACTGGATTGAGATCCCATGCGTCCTTCCATTCAAGACGAAGAATGCCGCGCTCTTCATGAGACATGGTTTTGTCATCGACGCTGTGATATTGAATCCTAACACCGTCGGTGTTGTATTGGCTGGCGCGGCGATCCCAAGCTACGCTGCGTGGTATTCCGTTGGTCGTGCTGGACATTTTAACGTCTTCGACGGAGGCTCCGAAATTGGAGAAACATGCGCTGGTAGCCATTCCAATGGTGTCGTCTGCTGAATCAAAATGTGTCCATACTCCCTCTGAGGATGAGTCCAGCCCTAGTTGATCGACAGTAGAATCCCACAAGTGTGTGTTTGGGTTCTCTGCGCCATGCTCCTGTACGCTCTTCCGCCAGTCATCTCCGACTCCAGTGCTGTTGAACACCAAGAAAAGGTTCGTCAATTGTAAGATGACGCCAGGGATCAGTCTCGGAGTAGACATGATACCTCCTAGAGCTAGAGCTCCCCCATTTACGGAACAAATGGATGCTTGCCAGTTGAGAGCGGTGGTGTTGTGTTTAGTGGGAGCGACACAGTTGAAACTCCATGGTCCGCCATCAAAATATTCCAATGGAGAGCTTTGATCGTTGCCATCGACATCGAAAGTCAGATTACCGCGGATGAAAACGTCGCTGAGGTAGTCGTTATCATCGAAAGACTTGCTGGAATAGGAAAAGGTGACGTTGCTGAGTAAAGGTTTATGACAGACGACCCTAGAATCTACGACAGTGGCCGGACCGTCATAATTTCGCAATCTCATGCGACTCTCTTCATTCACAAAGGGGAGAAAAGCACGCAATAGTCTCCCTGTATCTTCAAAGTCGTCTGCTTCCTGGGCTGGAGTAGATATTCTTGGGTGTTCAGCAAACCTGAAGTATGTTCCAGGAGCTGAGTGCCAGACCTTCGAGCCATCCCAAGTACCTTTGACTCCCCCGTTGTCCTTGTTGAGATAATTCATGCTGACGGATTGCCGAGGAGAGGTAATATTAACGTTTCCGAGATCGGAAAGGAGGATGGTTGACGTAAATTGTGAAACAGCTGTCAAAAGTACTGAGACTCCAACAGCGGCAGAATAGATCCCACTTGTTCGCCAGGGAAGATCGAAGCTGGTAAAGGTGACGAGGTTGTAAGGTGACGCAGATATTGCTCTTAGCAAAGAGACTAAAGGTGCAGATGTTAAAGGAACCCCGGTCCTTTCTAACATGAGCGAGGCTGTCATGGCTGTAAACACACCCATCTGAAGTGATAGCATCACTCGAACAATAGCAGAGGAGACAGTGATAGCTCTCGAAGTCCAGTCGGAGAACACGATCAAATTCCACAGCCGGCCACGGTTAGTCTCGCTGGTCTCTGCTGCCATCGCGCCTTGCCAAAGGCATACGAGAAAGGAAACAGATGCGAGAATGGATATTGTACCCAAAGATAGTATCAGAGTGCCCATTATCCCGATCACACTCCATGAGTTGCGAGGGGTATGGGGTCTCGATGGCTGCGTGCTCTGGCGGTCCAGAAATTCTTTGCCTTCGGACCCTGGACGTGACTGAGCTGACACTTCCGTCTTCCGGAAATCGTCGTCCTCTGCGTGAGTATCTGGTTCATTTTCTTCGACCGCTTGATAACAATTTGTTATAATCAGCGGTCGTGTCCTTTCGTGCGCCGGGCGTGACTGCTCTGACGCTTTCGTCTTTGGTATATCGTCATGCTTCAACTGATCTATCGTTTCGTTTTCTCCGATTGCTTGATATTGATTCATGATTATCGTATACTCTTTTTGGGAAACGGGGCAGGGGTTGTCAGCCGGGCTGCTCGTTCAGAGCTCTGTGGATGTTGTGAATCAGATGCTGATGGATATGGGTGACATTATCACAAGAAACACGATTACATGAAACAGGCTTTGAAGAAGAAGCTCTTCTATATATATCTGAGTCGGCTATGGAAAGTCGCTGGCCAAATTCATTTTATTGTCGTGTCTCTTAGACCATAAGGAAATGCACAATAAGATCATGCGCATGTCAGATAACTCCGCCGAGGATGATAGGCTCTTGCCTCATGCCAGCCCCAGATGATATGTCCTCCATAATAATTTTAAGAATACATTCTACCCTTTCGATTTCATAGGCCCGGAGGGTGTGGTGGGTAGGACGCCCCCAACATTGACAAGGTGTTGGCTCCTACAGCCATTTCTATTGGAGGATCGCGTAGGCAGACGAGGCGCATCGCTGCGCCAAGTGCATGGAACATATATTAACTGCCATCCAACATTCTATTCTGGACTCGTCTGCGCCGCAGAAGAAGGAGGCAGCTTTTGAAAATGCACATGTGCTGTTCAACAATGTGGAATCGAACCCCCTACTCAAATAATACGAAGTAAGATCTGGATGAGTAAAAAGAACGAGACAGGTTGGAACAAAGGCTTGCTTCCTGACTTGGACTCCCCATAGCTGCTGCACTGAGTGGCCAGTCAGTACGAATCAGAGTACTTACGTAAAGGCTTGAAGAGTTCTCTTGTTCATGAAGAATGCGAAATTTATGGTTGGAAATGACAGACATGAGCACTTTTTGTGACGCTGGATGGGGCCGATGACCAAAAATCAAAATTTTCGCGACGCCTGAGGGTGGGATTGGTACAAAGATTCTGTGTCTTGAGTCTCCAGAAGATCAATGTTTTGTTCGTAGCTCACCCAATCTGCACTATTTTTCTATCCTCGTCACGGAAACCACCAGGATGTCAGCGTCTTTAAACCTGAAGTCGGTCCTCTTGACTAGATTTGATGTGGCACGTTTACTTTGCCTCCCGACACCAGATTGTTAGTAATAACAGATATGAAGGGTTGGAAAGTGTCTGAGGCTGTGAATACAGACACCAAGCAGGGCAGACGTTATCAACTAAGATCAGGCTGAGCCGACTGGGGTGTTGTGCGCGTGGAGATATGCAACGCAGCTACAGCAAATCCCGCAGCCCGCATTCACAACCAATACAACCTGGCCACGATGCATGTTGGCTGCAGTACGCAGTTTAGCGATGACGAGTGCCAAGAAGACAGACTTGCTGCAGCTGTTGCCTCGCGGGAGCCCGTCCCTTGGAGCTACCTTGAGGTAATGAACCAATTCTTTGATCGTTTCTCACACTCGCCTCTCTTTGCAAAACCCATCCTCGCAATAGGTACAGAGGCACGCCGAAAGACTCGTTCTCATGGTGAGCGACATCAAACTTTCGGCTCAAGATGATCTTGACGTCGTTTAGTTCCAAGTTGTGAGGGAGTTTGAGAAACAGACAGGGTCCAGACTGCAACCGGCTAATGAAGCAGTTTTGTCCGTCACCGACGTGATTGATGATAACGACCCTCACAAATATAAGACCTGCAACACTGTATCAAATCGATATAGAGATACACGTCAATATCACCCCGATTATGTTACAGATTTAGCTGTCCACTTTGTATAAGGCGAAGTCTCTGAAATCCAGCATTAATACAACAACGAAGGCGTGGTAATGTCGATCCAGGCCTGTGTCTCTGTCGCCTCCTGTGTATGCATGGGAATATCTGGACCTCAGTCAAAAGCAGAAGCGGCGCAAGAAACAAGCCAATACGTACGGAATTTGACACAACGGTCTCATTGGCACACGTTACGGATATCGGGGGCTGTTGTTGCTTGTAGATGAAAAGCGGAAGTATTATCGCAAAATTGCTGTGTTGGAAAGAGGAGCAGCTCTGGCTGAGGAAGGGATCTTTTATAGCCCCCATCAGTGTTGAGAGCCAGCTGGCAGGCTTGTGGTACATAAAAATACGAGTCCTGCATAAGCTACTGCATCCAGGACGATGATCAAAGGCTCAAATGGCCAAGGGGCGAGGGCGGGCGAGGTCTCCTTATGCCACCAGTTGAGGTATACTTCCCTTAACTAGGTCGTCTTCCGTCACCAAGCAAAGGACGCAGAGGCAACTCATTTTTTTTGTCTCTAGAACTATGGAAGCAAAGAGTCTGCATCGGAGTACCTATCAGCACTCTACGTGACCCTGGGAACACCTGAATCACATTGTTGCCTGTGCAAAGCGTTGGAGGTGGTTTACACCGTGCCCAAGCTATTCGCGTCTCATCAATAGGCTATGCAGGATTGACTTCTGATGAGACAGAAGCCAAAGACAATGTCGTGTGCAGCAATACCGCAGAAGTCAAGATCACATCATAAAATACTGTGTCTATGAACTCCGACATGTGTTGGTCAACGAAAGCATTGGATGGACAGGTCATCCCACGCTCGGTACTTCTGTCGTCTTTTGTTTATCGATCGTAGTATTTGCCCTCTCTCTGAAGCAAGACTAGTACACACACAGCGTTGACATGCGGACGTATGATCACTCGCGTTACTACTAGCCAGTCGACGACGCCAACAAAGCTCTCTTCCACTTACCTCGCCTATTTCACATTGTCCGTCATCAAGGGGAGCTTCCCATATCGATCCTGAAAGCTCATAAATATAGCTCAGAGAAGTTGCTGCATGCTTAGGTAGATAACACCTGCAATTTAGAAGGAAGTGATCTTGACGGAAAACTAAGCAACGCATACATGCCATATCTTGGCTGGCGCATGGCCGAGCAATCTTTATTAGAGAATACGAGGCCACGGATATGGCTTTTGGGGGCAATTACGGCGATCGATACCGTTCAATTTACCTAGGATGTCGAGTTTGGTTCGTGAACCCAGACACTGAGCATGGTTGAGGTCATCTACGTGTTGCAAGACCGGCGCGGAGGAAACAGACTGGAGGTGTCGTTGCCCAATGATTCACCGCGAATACACGAAACACAGATAACAGTTCACTGTAGGAAGCAGCCAAGACGAAGATGCTTCTAGTCCAAGGCTGTGGTTTCGGAATCTAAGATGGAGAACACAGTCATGTCTACCACCATTCTTGGTGCAATCAGTTCCAGAACCCCGCACCCGTTCCTCATATGCAGCCTCCTAAACCAAAGACTCCCAATGACAACGTAGAGTCTTCATAAGTAGTCCTCCCCGAGGACGATTTCAGTTCCCGGCAAATGCCTGCTTCTAATGGGAGTTTTTGGAATCTGCAAATGGACCGGGATAGTACGATATCACAAGGAAAACAAGAATATGCGTTGTTGCGTAGAAGTATAGTGAAGATAAACTTCAGAGACCAGTATATCCATGGATAATCGAGGAAGAGACGTCCAGGATGACGACGGAGGTATCCCGTACCTTGAAACAGGGGGGCAGAGACAGCAAAGTGAGACGACCTGTGGAAGTATCGCGCCTGCGAGGAGCTGGCTTCAGTCAGTATTCGCTCAGTCTTTCATTCTAAGGAATTCCAAGACCGAGTCCTATTGCTCGGGAAGTACAGTATGAACTGCCGTTAGCCTGCAATACATACTGACACCGCAGATGGTCAACGAGTCTCTGCCACACCCACGGGTCAACGGCTAGGTCCCAAACCCCTTACTCGGGTTCAGATAAATAGGAATTTGTTCGACTGAGATGGAAAGATGAAGCAAGCAAGCAATCTAGGCCCTCTCAGTCACGGAGTTCAGATTGTGTCATAAAACCTTCGCCTGCGGGGGGTTTGTCGCTCCCAAGAATACATCGCTTCCCATCATCGACAAAACAGCAGGACAATAGTTCAAGCCCCGGCTACTTGCCGTCCCTCATCTCGGCCGCTCCCATATCATTCGGCCTCTCATTCCACAAATTTATCACACGACGTTCGAGTCCAGTGCATAGACTGAAGAACCAGCCATGGACTCACATTTCATGCGGAACGCCCGGGAAGCCTTTTATCCAGAAACATGTCCATGTCCCTGGGAAATTTGCATGACGGGAGTTCTTACCAAAGCGACGGCAAATATATACACCTCCCAAACTTGCCTCTCCACAGAAAGACCATCCACTGGGAACGATTTCGACACTTGGCTTGCGTCTGACGAGGGTATATAAATTGACCCATCATGCAAATGATATTCAGCTCCCTAATGGCTTGAAAGCTATCTTTCTGGACTTCGCGGATATCAAGGTCTCCCAGATGCGTTCTGTGGATGACAGGCTTTGTCGCCATCATTCTCCAGCCATCATTCTCCCATCACATCTCTCTCCACCGACCTCGTCCCTCCTCACTTCCTTCCACAGGGTATCCAGCTGATTGCTTCCAAGTTACAATCAGACTCCCTGGAGCTGTGAACACTCTCAACAAGCATACATGCCATATTCCCACACCTCTGTACAAGAGGAACGCCATATTTTGAACTGGCTCTCATTGAGAAAACCGAGAACTGTGACGATCTGGCCTGTCCGTTGAGGCAAAAGTGACCTCAGCATGGTCATACTTATATAGAGACCCCTGAAGGCTACCGCACCAGCCCCGGACCAGCTTTCACGATCATTATCTGCCTGATCGATGGTTTACGGAGGATCTGTCTCTTATGCAAG